CTCACTGCAGAATCAAGGAATATATATATTATATATATATATATAAAATATATATTTCTAATGGCAATATAAGACAATTTTTAAAGCTCCAGAGACAAAAGCATACTAATGGGTTTTGCTGAGCTAATTCTAATGGAAAAATAAGACAATTTTTAAAGCTCCAGAGACAAAAGCATACTAATGGGTTTTGCTGAGCTAAAATTGCCAGAAACCAAGATTCATACATACATCAGAAGACAGAAAAGTAGAATAGAAATGACAATATGTTGCTTAGAAACTACAAAACTATGTATTTAAAAAAATCACATCCACGTTAGAAATATTTGCATCTCCCTCTTGCTGCAAGTGTGGCTTCCTTTTGGGAACCCAGTGTAAAAGCTGTACTTCTTACTCTTTTTACTGCTGATGAAGAAACACTAAATCCTAAAGCACCAATGTTCTAAAATATTCAATATGAGATGATATTTGAATGAAAATCTGACATTCCCCCAAAATCTACTCATGAGCCAGGAAATAGATTTTGGGAAGTCCCCATTGTAAGTGCTAGCTTTAGTTTGTAACCTAGAGTTGTGATACAAAGGAACCGAAGTGAACGGGAAGAAAACATGGTGTGGTATTATTAAAACTTTTCTGTTCTACTGAGAACTCTGGGATATTACTAACAAACAAACAAGCCCAAATCATTTAAATAATTACTTCTTCAAACCAGCCTATGGCTATTTACAGGATTGCTCTCCAGAAAAGAGAGGTCACAGATAACATGCGAATCTTCCCTTCTAATGTCTGATCTTCACTGACAGAAACAGGCACTATCCACTGTAATTTAATTCTGTAAGACCAAAGACATTACTAATTGCAGGTAGAAAACAAAAAGTAATTTAGCTAACAGCTAACCTTAATTGATTTGGGGGGGTATAAAGACCATTGTTCCTCTAAAAATGCAAATTGCAAATTAGATGATCTACCCACTCTGTATCCAGCTGAGAACATAACGGGTTACAGGGAATACTTTCATAATCTTAAAGATTTCCGTTCAACAAGGAAATGCCCAGATAAACCCTACATCTGACAAATTATCAAATTATTCTCTGCATTCAAAAACTTACTCAAGTACTATAGCTTCATAAACTGTTCCTAGTTCTCTAAATATCAGAAACATTTGAGACCAACAGTTGGCCTAGTGGCTATGTCGCTGGACTCCCATGTAGTCGATCGCGGTTCGAGTCCCAGATCTGGTGGCTTAAACTCACATCAGGTGTGCGTGCATGTGTGCCCAAGATCCTGAGAGGAGAGTGGAGAAGGGATTGCGGTGTGGCCATCCTCCTGGGGGGGTGGGGGGGTGATTTCTCACTTTCTGTCTCTGTGTCTTTATCTTTCTGGTGAGCACACACGCCTTATAGCAAAAACCTCTCAAAAACAAACAAACAAAAAAAAAAAAAAAAAAAAAAAAAAAAAAAAAAAAGAAGAGAGAAAAAGAAAGAAACATTTTAGGGATTTTGTTTAAACTCAGGACCAGCAGATGGCATAATGATTACATTGCTCAACTACCATGTAATCAATAGCAGTTTGAGTCCTGCTCCCAGCAGCTTAAAACTCACAACGGGCGTTTGTGCATGCGTGCCCAAAATCTTGACAGGAGAATGGAAGAGAAGGGACTTCAGTGTGGCCAACCCCCGCCCCCTCAGTCCCAGGGGTGATTTCTCACTTTCTGTCTCTCTGTCTCTCTCTGTCTCTCAGTGAGTGCATGCACCCTATAGAAAAAAATCTCTCTTAAAAAAATATTTTTTAGACTCTGGAGGGTTCAAAGGGTTGTGGTAAAAGTCAAGCCTAAAAACGACTTACAACATAAGTATCTGTTTGGAAAAACTGGTATTTTAAATCCTTCACAGTCGTCAAACATTTTAATACAGTTTAAAAACTTGAACTACAATACAAATATTTTCCCCTCCAGATTGAAAAGCCAGGAAAAAAGTTAACAAACAGCTTGGAAACCTTATCCTTATAAATAAAGTAAAAATAGAATATTTAAAATGCCAGATTTTCAATTCTTAAAGTTAAATGTAGCTAATAACTTTTCTTAAATAATTTGGAATAAATGTTTCATAGAGGTCCTTAGCATATACCTGACTGTCTTTTCGAGAGATTAATATAAATGAAGGTGGGGACAGTAGATGACATAGTGGTTAAGGATGCTGGGCTCCCACATGGCTGACCACGGTTCAAGTCCCAGACCTGGTGGCTTGCTTTCTCACTTTTTCTCTCTCTTTGTCCCTCTCGGGTTAAATAAATAAATAAAGTAAAATAATTATATAAAAAACGCAAACATGAAGGTAAATTCAGTCCTCATTTAGTACTTAGTAACTGCATTTCCCTCCTATCTATCAGATGATGATTGATAAAGCTGTCAGAAGCGATCACTTTTGCTGTAGACACCACACAACTGCCATTCTAGATTGAAGTTAAACCAGAATATTTACAGCAATTAGTTTTTCTAAATTCCCTGAATCAATTCCTTAGTAACAATTCCTCCATGATCTTTTCAATCTATAATGAACTAGGGACACTGGAGGAAAAAAGACTAGTGCTCTTTTTTTCCTATGCCAGTACCCCTTATTGATGTATTTTTGGAAGCACTAAAAGCTTAATTTAAAACCCTTTGATAACAAATGAAAACAGCAACTCACAAGTAACGTGGATGCAAATGGAAAACATTTAGAAAATGGCATGCTCTGACTACTCCAGCAAACTTCTAAAAATCCTAGGGTCAAATTTTGTTATGTCAGAATCATAAACACTTGAGGCTAAAATGCAACTAAACTCCAAAACCACTGATAAAGATGTGATGATACCCTTTTAAAATGCAGGTTTGTAATAAAAATTTTAAAAAGGACAAATTAGTTACTTTTTCAATAAATCACTTAATCAAGTATGAAAAGTATGAGATTCTAAGAGAAATCTATACTTTTCTCTGGGCTTTACTCTCTAGAGTACACAGGGACCTCCAACAGTCATATGGTCCCTTTTTAATACTGGGCCAGAATATCTAGTTTCAATATCCAAAAAGTTCTATTTGTTTTGTTTTGTTTTAACACCTTTGGCAACCAAATTCTAATTTGAACACATTAGGTTATTTGGAGACTTTCTTTTTTTTTCCCTAAAATAATTATTTATTTAGTTTTACTTATTCATTCATTTATTTTAATTTGACCAGAGAGAGAGAGCGAGAGAAAGGGAGAAAGCAAGCCACTAGGTCCAGGACTCAAACCATGGTCAGCCATGTGAGTGTCCAGTGCCTTAATCACCACGCCACCTGCTGCTCCCCTCAGAGACTTTCTTTATCAGACTTACGTGAATATTCACATGCTCCATTGTAGAAATAGTAAATGTTTGATTATGTAATGGGTTGTAGGAAAAATCATGATGTATTTTTTTTCTATGCAAAAACGCATCATGACTTGTCCGATGACCTAACAGTACCATCCCAGACCCTAGAGGAGAAGGGATATGTTATGCATGATATTTAACACCATATCACATTCCTAAAATCCTGAGATAAAATATCATTTGGCCTCCAAGGGTTTCAGATCAAAGATTCTGAAGCTATGTTTTCTATGTTATATCTATGTAGAAATGTATTGTCATTTTTGCCTTAACAAGGATTTTATATCATAGTTTTATCATTTAATTTCTACGACCAATGTAAAAATTTTTAAATTATCTTCCCAAACTACATTCTATAATTGCCTAATGTATGGAAAGTATACATTGACATTCACATTAAGTCTATGCACATAAAAAAATGAATCTGCGTTAATAGAATACTAACGTGCCATGTCAACAAACAAATTAACAAGGTTGACACTAAGTTTATACAATAAAAAGTGTTTATCTGAGTCAATTTCTCCAGTAGCTAGTAAATGAACCCTTAAAAAAAAAAGAGATAGTAGCAGTAAAAGTACTTTTAAAAATCAAGTCACTTGTATTTAAATGGTAGTAAAAATTCCCTACCTAAATTACTTACCCCATTTCCTGTTTTACCAGCAACCATGCAGCATGCTGTAGGCAATTTAGTCACACCCAGAAAGAAGAGAAAGGGGGAAAATGCTCAGTGAAATTAAGTTCCCACATCATTACTGAAGTACTTAAGTATTCTGCTCATCGAACTCAGCTTCTTAGGAGAGGAGTTAGTGTACAGACACGTGGCGGGGATCTCAGTCTCACGTAAAATCAGAAATCAGGGAAGATCTCACTTTGCAGTGTGGACTTCTTGTGGCCCAGGAATTCAACAGGGGTATCCCCTCCTCCCTACCGATCTCTATTTTACATTAGTAAGTTAGAAATGGTGGGGTGGTTTTGTTTTGTTTTGTTTTGAGAGGTTTTTGCTATAGGGGGTGTGCACTCGCCAGAGAGAGACGGAGAGACAGAAAGCGAGAAATCATCTCCCCGGGGGATGGCTACGCTGCAATCCCTTCTCCTCCATTCTCCTCTCGGGATCTTGGGCACGCACGCACATGCGCCCAGGGTGAGTTTAAGCCACTGGGTCCAGGACTTGAACCGTGGTAGACTACATGGGAGTCCAGTGACGTAGCCATTTCGCCATCTGCTGGTCCCTAGGAGTGGTTCTTAACATGGTTAGCTTACATTTTTTTTCTTTAAATATCTTACTATTTCATGGGGGAAAGCACAAAGTGACTGAGCACATAGTCCCAAAAACATAGAATTGAAGGCCCCAGATTTTTGTTTTTTTAACTGATGCTAATATTTTTAAAATTTTATCTCTTCTAAGTGTTCAGGAGTAAAATGTACTGATGCTTGTAACTCGCTGAAATACAAGAAAAACTAGATGGATTGATGAGTGGATAGCTGATGGCTCAATGTATAATAAAGCAAATTAAAAAATAGTAACACTCATAGAATCTAAGTGGGTTATATGAGTTTTCACTGACAGTTCTTTCAACTTTTCTATATGCTTTAAGATTTTCATAATAAAAAATGTTACAGCGAGACCAGCAGGTGGCATGTGGTGAAGGCGCTGGACACTCCCACATAGCCAACCACAGTTCAAGACCTGGACCTGGTGGCTTGCTTTCTCGCTTTCCCTCTCTCTCTGTCTCTCTCTGTGTCTGTGTTTCTCTGGTCAAATTAAAATGAATGAATGAATGAATAAATAAATAAAATTTTTTAAAAATGTTACTGGGAAATGTCTGGGAAGGAAAGGATTAATAAAAACTGAAAATATTGGTAAAATGAAGACAGTAATATTAACAATCATGGTGGTTGTGAGAATTAAATCAAATTTGTGTAAAATCCATTAGATTCCCACAACTTTCACCTGAAGGAAATGGCATGTCATGTCCTGTCACAGAAGCATACATGTATAAGTTGATAAAGTGTCACATGTCTACGCTTCTAGTGTTACGAAAATGTCCAGTCATGGGCTGGCTGCTGTTGTGGTGGTCAGGGCCGCTGGGTCCCAAATGGTGGACAGTGTGGTTCCAGTCCAGGACTCAGCAGCCTGAGAAACACGCAGGCACCTGTGCATGCATGCCCAAAATCCCAAAAAAGGGGAAAAACAGAGGAGAAGGGATCATGGTGACTGCTCCTCCGCCCCCGTGGGTGTGTTCTCACGCTCTCTTCCCAGTAATTACATGTGCCCTCTGACAAATAAGAAAGAAAAAAAAGCGGCCAGTCACTTTCATTCACATCCACTCCAAGGCATGTCTTGATATATGTATACGCTGTGGTTCGCATGTGAAAACGTATCCTTCTAATAAACAGGACTTCCTCCTAATGACCAGCAGGCACTAGTGCCGTCTGAAGACTATTATCATTCAGGAACAGTGAGTGTATTAATTCATGCAGAATCGAGTCTGAGCCAAGAAGAATACATTTATCATTAGCTAGACAAGAACCATTCCAAGTGCCTGAATGTCTCACTGGTAGTTTTTTGATTGGCTAGTTTATTTATTCTGCTAGCTCAACCCAATACTATTTAGCTATTTAGAACTAGAAGGTCCCTTCCTACTTTCCCTCAAGTCCTATTTCCAAGTTTATGGGTATGGTATAATACACAAATTACTAGGTGTCATAAAACATGGCTTTAGGCTTTACTTAATTTCTGGGATTCAGTTTCCTAAAAGTATAATGAGAGAGTTGGACTAAGATGATTATATTTTAAACTTTCTGGATGGCTAAAGGATATTATTAGTAGACATTAGTTACTACACTGTTTTGTAATAAAGGCTAGTGAGATGTACAGGACCAGGAGAACATAGAGAAAAAAGAATAATGATCTCCTAAAGATGAAATCTTGTAGCCAATATTGTTCCTCCCTTCCTTCAGCCTCAGACTTTAAGAGATCGACATTTATTTTTTCATCTATACATGGATTTTTTAATTAAGATTTATTTAATTTCATTCATTTATTTTTAAATTTTGCTGTAGGGCATGTGTATTCAACAGAGACAGAGAGATAGAAAGAGAGAGGGAAAGTGAGAAAGCAAGTTGCCAGGTCCAGGACCTGAACCATGGTTGGCCATGTGGGTAGTAGCACCTCAACTACCATGCCAACTGTTGGCCCCTACAGAGATATTAATTCTTCCCCTACAGAGATATCATGAGGATTTGATGAAATTATGCAAGTAGGATTCCTCGCATGTACTTCATATATGGTCACTATGATCATTATTGAATTGAAACCTTGTCTATATTTACAAATAATACAATTCAGATTTATCCCTTAAAAGAGTTATAGGACATGGTCCCATTCCCTCATATCTCTAAACTGCTCTGCCATAGTAGATCTGAAATGTCCATCAATAAAATCTGAACTACAGAGAACTAGCTATCTCTTCGTTAAGAGACTTCAGGCTCTTCTGCCCCTTTTTAGTGATCTTCCGGTCTTTTCTTTTGAGGTAAACTCTGTTCTCTACAGTCACTTAGGTGATGCCGTTAAGCCTGCAATGTGTCCTGCCATCTTCTGATTGAAAAGTAGGGCAGAAATGGAAGGTTGTCAAGGGAACCCACATAACCATGTGTAACACGTGAAATTAAATCAAATGTCTTCGGTACCTACAACTTAGGAAGGGAAGGTTTTTCCTTCCCAATCCTCCGCAGGCTCCCTGCTCAAGCATGCCAGCAGGCTGGATAGAACTAATCACATAGCAGGGCCTGGAAGGCTGTGTCCCTCAGAAGTCAGTATTGCTCAATTATTCCGTTTCTACCACATGCTAATAATGCCCAGGACCGGCTTCTGCCAATGAAAAAGAAGTACATTTCTCCCTTTCAGGTCACCAAGATGATTTTAGTAAATATCCTATTCCTTAGTCATTGGAGAGAAAAAAATATCCATTCTCTAGAGTAAGCAATTAAATTTTTCCTTCCCAACAGAACCAAATGGCATTAAAGTTGTGTAGTTTAATCAAATTTGATACCAGAGGCAGTATGTCACCTCCTGAAAACTCAGAAACTACACAATCGAATCCTTGACTTCTCTATGGCTTTATTCGACAATTCTAGGCAAGTCCTAAGTGGAGCAGCTGAATAACTGCTAGAATACTTGTGTAACACACACACACACACATGCACACATGCACGCGCGCACACACACACACACACACACTTCACAAACCAGACAGTCTGTGCTGGGAATGGTTTTTGAGTCTAGCGTTCTGAGTTAGAGGTTCATTTAGTACTATAAAACTAGGTGGCAGTGGGACCAGGGATTGAAGTTGATTCAAGCAGAGGTGACAGGAAGGACAGAAAATGAGGGAAGCATTAAAAATGGCATGTGAGGGAACTACAAGTTCATGACGTTGGTTCTTAGGTATATATGTGCCTGCATAGATGGGGGCAGGCGTTCAATGGTTAGAGAGAAAATTGAAAAAGTCAGGTTTTGAAGCTCCGAACTAGACTGCATACCCAAAGTCTAAAGCCATAACATGAGAAGTGCCACCTTTATTGTTGTTTTTCTTGTGTGACAGTTTAAGAGAAAAATAAAATATTTTTGTAGAGAATATTTCTTTATAACACATAAATATTATAGTATTATAATAATAATATGAGAAATATAGTATGGGAAAGTCACAAGTTCCAGAAAAAGGAGACAATATACCTGGCCCACTTTGTTTGTTTGTTTGTTTGTTTTTGCCTGTATGGCTCTCACAGACAACTGAGTCTAATTCCTAGCAGAGGGAAACGAACACCAGGCCAAAAGCAGGCTCTGCTTCTACACATTGTGTGATGACCTGCAAAGGAGCTTGTCTCTATGGGCCTTGGTTTCTTATCCATAAGATAAAAAGGATTTGATATTTCATTATTTTGGAGTTACTTCCTAAATGATGAGATCTTGACTGAGAATGCAGAGATGCAAGATCAATCTCCGCCCATAAGCAAAACTGTGAATTAAGAGTAAAAAGGAAAAATAATAATAAACATTCATAGTACATTCATAATTAATGAAAATCATTAAAATACAGAGTGGCAAAGGTATTGAAGGGGTATTTGTCAAAGGGACATGTAAACAATACTGACTTCAATCTTGCAGGAGAAGTGACATGTAGTTTGGGCTTTGAAAAATCAGTTACCTAGAATTAACTTGGTCAAGACACAGAAAAGCAAGGAGGTTCCAAAGAGGAACCCCTGACGCGGAAAGGCCAGGGAGCACTCAGAAGGTCCCTGGAACCATAGTCAGTGGTCTCGAAGCACTGAGAATGCGTGGATAGACAGTAAAAAAGAAGATGCTAGACCAAGATCCTAGAACTCTCGCGCCCATACCAAGGAATTCGGATTTAACTTAAGACAGTGTAATGCTACAAAAGCATTTTAAACAATAGAGAGAGATGATTGTATTTGCCTTCAGGAATGCTCACTCTGGTTGCAATGTGAACTAGAGGAAGAAGATGGGAACTAAAGAAAACGAATGTATTTGGAGAGCTAAGGCAGCAGTTGAAGCAAGAAATAACATTATGGCAGTGCTGGTGAGAATGAAGAAGAGTAGAAGGGCCACTTTGAGAGAGAAGGAGGACATGGATTGGCAGGACTTGGTGACTGGCAGT